GTATATATGTATGTATATGTATATCAAATTCTACCAGAAGGGGGCGCAGTCAGTCCCTGTTCAATTCGGCGTTATTCGGCCCTGTTCGGACGCCTACTCATGAAATCTTCGGCTGTGCTCGGGCTGGCAGCCATCGGGACTCTTCGGCTGTGCTCGGGCTGGCAGCCATCGGAACTCTTCGGCTGTGCTCGGGCTGGCAGCCATCGGGACTCTTCGGCTGTGCTCGGGCCATCGGGACTCTTCGGCTGTGCTCGGGCTAGCAGCCATCGGGACTCTTCGGCTGTGCTCGGGCTGGCAGCCATCGGAACTCTTCGGCTGTGTTCGGGCTGGCGGCCATCGGGACTCTTCGGCTGTGCTCGGCAGGTAACGGTCGGTACGTTCAAATGTTCGGCCGCAGGTCTTCCTAGAGACTGAAGTGAAGAAAGAAACAGACGAGCGAAGCCGATAGACGGACTTTGGAAGCGGAATGACGGTGCTGCAGGAACCTGTCCAGGTAGGAGCAGCTCGTCATGTTGTCATGACTGACGAGGCGAGTTTTTTTTTTTTTTTTACCGAGCCGGCCTCGGCTGCTGTGAGTCCGCGCTAAGGCAGCCCGGTGCCCGCCGCAGGCCCCGCAGCTAGCCGCTCACAGCCGGGAGCTTTCCTCGACGTTCTTCCGGCTTTGTGGCACKGTTGTCGGATCTTTAGTTAAAGACYGAAGCTGCTAGCTGGTAACATCCATGAATCAAACTGAAGTCGGTTAAAAATCAGTCAAATTGAAATGTTCCTTGTTGTCCGCAAAATCCACGGATTGGGATTTCTGTGATGTTTTGTGACACGGCTGTGTTTAGACATTCCTTCGGCATTAATCTGAACCACGATGTTTCTTATTTATTTGTTATTTATGACAATAATAATAAAAACTTAACGTGTCCTCATTATGTTTGTTTTGATGCTCCATTCTGGCCCAGGTCAGCTGTCCTGCTCTGAAGAGTAAAACAGTTTTTAAAGTTTAGGTTCAAACTAAGTAATCATGTTTGATGAAATAATTAATCCCGAATCTTTCTGCCGAGTGTTTATTTTATTTAAACGTAATGTATAAACGTATATTATTGTTAATGAACAGGGTTTTATCAAATCTGTACATTTGTCTGCTAATGCTAACAGTTAGCTTTGTGTTAGCTGGCTCACCGAGCCCGAGCTTCCCTTTTTAACGTTTTTATTTTTACACGATTTCAGCTTGAAACTTTGTCCGAAAGCAGGTTCTGTTCTGCTGGTGCTGTGCCGGGATTTTATGGATCTGTTTTAACTCCAAAAATGAGCAGAATCGGGTTAGCTCGCAGCTGGTTAGCCTCTGCTAACAGCAGCTAGCTGCCGGTGTTGTGATGAAATCTGTTTCCTCTCCCTGCAGCTTCTCAGTTTTCCCTTTTAAATCCTGTTTAAAGAAATAAAATTTTAGGGGAAATGTGTTAACATGTTTCTTCTGAGGTCCATTTTAGCAGAGAAACACAGCCTGGTAGCAGTGATATTCAAGACACATCACCAAAAGCTATTTATAATTATCTACATACATGGTAGCATCTTTCTCAACATTACAAGCATCTTAAAGCACAAGCATTTGTAAAACTGGAAACAGACATTTTTTATCTCCACTGAACAACAAGGCAAAACGTTGAGTCTCTGCGACCTTGGTGAAAACTTTAAGGAAGCTCTGGCCAGTTTTATCCTGTAAGAGGAGCACAAATAACCACTCTGGCACTGGTGACTGTAAAAATAATGTCTCTTTTCTTAGAAGTCCACTGGTGTTTCCTCAGAGTCACATTTAAACGCTGCTATTTCCTGTCTGATGGCGGATGTTCTATATTTAATTATTTATTGATGATTTTCAGTTTGGATGAGAGAAACTGAAGGCCTGATATGAATTATAATTAGGGGCTGGTCACATCACAAATCCCAGCCTAACCGGAGCAGCAGCTGCTCCTGCTCAGCTGTTGAATAAATATAAACAGATCGTTAGGCCGAAGCCTCAGCTTCTGTGGAAAAAACAGTTTTCTGTTTTTGTCACTGCAGCTTCCTTTTCCTGGACTTTCATCAGAAATAGGAGGTTCTGATGAAAGCTTTATTTATTTATTTATTTATGTATGTATGTATTATGTATGTATGTTAGGGTTGGGCAATATTGGCAAAAAAAATAAATCACGATTAATTGTGGTATTTAGCCGATAACGATTAATTTGACGATTAATCCCCTGGAGTCCCTGGACACCCTTATTTCATAGTCACATGACCGATTTAGTGGGGAAAGATTTGCTCTTCATAAAAATCTGTTCCAAATTGTGTCAAAATTATAGATTTCAGGCTTTACATCAAATTTTAAATTGTGTTGATAAATAAGTTACAGAACTTTTTTGATGTTCGTCATATTTGAAGCTGAGAGGAGCAGCGAACGGATTCTAACTGGTGGCATTAATYGTATTAATTGTCAAGTGCCAAAAATTAATTGATTAATGTTTTTTTTGACGATTAATCACACACGATACGATTATGCCCAACCCTAATGTATGTATATATGAATGTATGAATGAATGAATGAATGATAGATAAAGTTAGATAAAGACTACATGTCTGTGTCCAGGAGTGTCTCACATTAATTCATGTTTGTGTGTTCAGGAGGGTCTAATGTTAATAGGCCTGTCATGATAAAAAATTTTGCTGGGCGATTAATTGTCTCAAAAATTATTGCGATAAGCGATAATATTGCCTGGTGACCGTTTTACAACTAATAATTATAAAAGCGTAATATGTAAGTGTAATAAATCAATAAACTTTAATTTTTAAAGAATGTTTAACAAAATGGACTCTCAGTCTCTAACAAAAATGCACTTGAATAAAAAAACAAAGAACAACAAAATGTAAATTAAAAACCACACACAACTAAGACAGTAAATAAACAATATTAAAG